GGCTGTAAATCTTTATGGGAGCAGAAAGCCTCATCTTTCTCCCGTGGAGCAGCTGGTAGTTTTGAACTTCTGACCTTGCGGTTCACAGCCCGATTCGTAACCACTATGCTACCAGAGTTCATATATATATAAAGATTTACGTTGTAAAAAAATTTTTAAAATAATTTTCCTAATAAAAGAAACAATCTATGATTGTTGGGGGAGGGAGGAGGGAAAAGTAGTCACAAACTACGGGTAGACACATGTTAACATGGACAACAGGGAAGGTAATATATAACATGAGGGAGACTAGCAGTGGGAGACACAGGAAGGAATGCAATATTTAAGTGAATATAGGTAAATGCTGTTAACTGTAGGTACACAGAGGGGATTGCAACCATGAAATACAGAAAATATATGATTTGCTGAATGCAGATCTTATCATTTGCTCTGCAAATCTTTACTCACTTCACAATAAAAAGCTGGGGGGGGGGAAGCCAGAAAAATTAATAAACCAACTTCTAAAACAACCCTGTCTACTGTACTAATATTTGTAAGTACCTGAAATTCTCAATCCTATTGAAGCAAGAGAAAGAAAAGGGGTTATAATTAACAAATAATTGTTTACTGGTTGTTGTTAAGTGCTGTCAAGTCGATTCCTACCCATAGTGACCCTGTATAGGGTTTCCGAGGAGCAGTTGGTGAGCTTGAACCGCCAATCTTGCAGTTCAAACGGCTTTGCAGTCTGGCGCACTAACCCACAGGTATAGAGTATTCTCTGAAAGATTACAGAGTGTTCCGGACTCCTCGTGTAGCTCTATAGGATAAGTACTGGACTTCGAACCAGAAGAAGGTTGGCTCCTTGGAAATCCTTTATAGGGTCTCTATCAGTCAGAACCCACTAGATGGCACTTAACAACAATAATAGGGGGCTCTAAAAGTTAAAGGTAAAAGCTCCTGCATAATTTAACTTTGGGGTAAACTAGTTTTAAAAACTTTCACATCATATTATAAAATAAATAGTTTAATTAATTCCCCAATCTTAGTGAGAAAAATTTTTTTCTTGGGAAATTACAACTTTTACTAAAAGACTGTTGCATGCTAATGTATTTTACAAGAGTAGAGTTCATCACAGACACTGCCATGATTCTATCGCCTATAGATGCAATATGGAAAGTAACATAATGATTGCATGGGAGGTTAGTTTAATCTCACTTTTTTCCATTTCTTCCTCTGATTGTAGTTAATGAATACAGAAAAATAAAAAGAAGATGATCAAGATCACATATAATTTTACCAGCCAGAGATAACTTCTGTTTTTGAATTAAACTTTCTTTCTATCCGTTTAGAAATCATTTGCAAACCAAGCTCTGGTTCTCATGTAACTATTTTTAATGCAACCATGATAATTTCTTCAGATTAAAAACTCTTCAAAGATATATTTTAATTGCTAAGAAATATTCTATTATATAAAAATAACATATTTGAATTTATGATTAGAAAGTCTTCTCTAATCAGAGACTTAAGATTCATCTATAGTTTCCTATTATTTTCTCATTACCTAATCTTTTTATATTTAAGTCTTTAATCCTATAAACTTATTCTGATGTATGGGATAAGGTTATTTAACAAGGTTTTTATTTAAATTTCTTGAAAAGGTAATACAGTCACATAGATGGAAGCTCTAAAAAATATGTTCTGTTTCCTATAGGAAACCCAAATTATTGGGTATTACTTTCACAGAGGTCCATGTGTATAGTCGTCTCTTATGCTGTCTAAAGAAGGTATTTGAAATAAACAATTATCATTTGTCTTGCAGAAATCTATCATTCGTTCTCCAGCATCATTTCTATCACCAAGTCCAAATTTTCCAACTACTGGTCCCTCCTCTTTGCTCCCT